GAGGAGGGGCGGGGTGTGGGCAGTCGCCTAGGAGGCCGGGCTGCGGCAGCGCCTGGGATGGGGGAAGGTGTGGGTGGGCACTGCAGGCCGGGGCTCCTGGGCCACTTGGGAGGGGAATTGGGTGGCTGGGGGTATGGGTGAGAGGGAGCCCAGTGTGCCCAGGGTGTGACTGTGAAAGATGGAGGGAGTAAGAAGTTGTGCTGTGGTGTGTGTGCGTGACCTTCGTGAGCCCGTAAGGACCCCTGAGCTCTCATCCTAGCTCCCCTTGGCCTTGGTCACCTGCTCTGAGCAGCGGGGAGAGGGGCCCGTGTTTTCGGCTCTGGGCTGGGAGGGTGGGAGGGGGGTTGCTGTGCACTGAGGCCCTCCCCCTGGTGGTGCCCATTCCCTAGGCGCATCAGCATGTGTCCTGGGTCCTGCCCTGTGCGGGTGGTGGGGCTGGGGGCTAAGGCGCTTTGGGCCTTGGGTGGGAGGCCGGGACAGGGCGGCCCCCTCGAGGCTGGTACAGCCGGGCCCCCGTGACTGCCCGGCTAATCCCCTCGAGAGAGGCAACAGCAGCCCAGATCGACGGGCACAGGGCCGGCAGAGGGACCCGCCAGCAGGATGCACTGGCTCCCAGCAGGTAACGGGGTGGCAGCAGCAGGTGTACTCACCACCTGGCCAGCCGGGGCCTCCACTCCCAGAGCTGGCTCGGGCACAGGGCTAGGGCATCATCCAAGGACCCCACCAGTAACTCAGGCTCTGGCAAGGCCGGGCCATTGAGAGCTGTGTGCCCAGTGCAGAGCCCTGGGCTTCTATGGGTCCCTTTTCTTACCTGCAGGAGTTGAGGAGGGGATGGCAGAGAAGGGATCCACGATGCCTTCGACTCCGTGGAGCCTTATCTGCCAGCCCTGGGAAAGAGGGACGTTTCGAGTATGAATGACCGAGCTGGAATAGGGCCGGTGCTGGCCCCTGATCCTAGGGACACAGTGACTAGCCAGTGCCTCCTAGGAGACAGTGTGGAAGATGCCTTAGGGACTAAAGGGAACTGATTTCCAGTAAGGGCCGGGAAGGCCTCCACTTACCTGTGCCCACCCCCACCCCTGGGCTGGAGGTGGGAGACCTGTGCTCCTGCCCCTTCTGCAGCCGAGGCCTGGGCTAGTGACTTCCTTCTCTGATTTTCTGTCTGAGGGTAAGCAGGTGGGTTGGACCAGAGCAGAGGCTTTTTTCAATGTGTGTGTGTTTAGAGAGGTTTTTGCTATAGGGCACATACGCTCGTTGGAGAGACAAAGAGAAACAGAAAAACAGGAAGTGAGAAATCACCCCCCCCACACGGGGGATGGCCATGCCACAATCCCTTCTCCTCCATTCTCTCTTGGGATTTTGGGCATGCACGCACATGAACCTGGTGTGAATTTTAAGCTGCCAGGTCTGGGACTCAAACCGCCGTTGGCTATGTGGGAGTCCAGAGATGTAACTGTTATGCCATCTGCTGGTCCCTGGATATGTTCTTGAGAGCTGTCAAA